AGTGTGATGTGGAGTTGTCAGAACGTGTGCGAGAGGTTGTCCGGCCCGTTTTGTTTGAGACATCCTTCCAATACTGCGCTCCAAGATGTCGTTCGCGAGGTGGTCCGGCCCGTTTCGCTTGAGCCATCCTCACAGTGCGAAGCTCGAAGATGTTGCGCGCGAGATGGTCTGGCCCGTTCTACCTGAGACGTTTCGTAGCACAGGGGCTCCAATCACAACCTCTCTAATTCCTTCTCCCGCCTCCCTCTTCCCGCTTCCCGCCTGTCTCCTCTTCCCTCCTCCCTCCTCCCGCCTCCCGCCTCCCGCTGCTGCGCCTCTGCCTCCGCCTCCCCGTCCCCGCCGTCGTCGTTTCTGCCGCCTCAGCATCCGTCATGTACGTCTTGCCTTCCGCCCTCTCCAGACATCCGACGTCACGATGTTTCTTTTGAGACGTGCGCCCGCGTACCTCTCGATATCATCCCCGGGGGAACCATCACGACATGCCCCCCCCGCTTCCGCGCCCTCCCCCGCTTCCTCTTACAGTTGCTTCCGAGTTCACAGCATGGCGGTGGAGCCTCTCACAGTGCCGACCCGACAGCTTGCTCGTCGACCAGGTGCGAGAGAGTACGACACCCTCTAGCGTTAACTTCCTGATAGGCATGCGTCACACAATTTTTCGTGAAATCATTTCATGTGCAAACACCATGTTATCATGTTCTAACAGACCATGCCAGCCCGCACTGGACGGGCACGCGATCGACCTTGGAAACCGCAGTGGATTTAAACACCCTGTTTGGGGATACTGCGCTCTGGCTTTAATTTTTGAGGACGTCTCTGCTTTGAATTCCCTCGGCCAAAGTTAGCTTCTATCACAACAACACCCCGTTCAGCAAGCTGTCTGGGGAAAAACAGCTCGTTCCTTATTCAGCGTTCCTTGTGGTAGAGTGAGCGTGTTCTGCCGCTGCCGCTGCTGGCAGAAAACCGGGGGGGTCACCGGGAGTTTCCCGCCCGCCTCCCCCCCCTTCCCCCTCCTTGAAAAATGAAGGGGGGGGGGGGGTCACTGGGGGTTGCACCCCCCCCCCCGATCCATCATGAAAAGGAAGGGGGGGTACTACCGGTTCGGACCTTTCCTCCTCCCCCGCTCCGGATGGGGGACTGGTGGGGACAGCGGTTGGGACAGTGGTGGGGATGGTGGTGGGGATGGGGACAGTGGGACAGTGGTGGGGACAGCGGCGACAGTGGGGACAGCGAGACCGTGGCGGGGACAGCGGCGGGGACAGTGGGGACAGTGCGACGGTGGTGGGGGCACTGGTGGGGACAGTAATGGGAAAACTGGGAACAGTGGGACAATAGCAGGAACAGTGGCGACATTGGGACAATGGTGGGGACGGTGGTGGTGGGAACCGTGGTGCGGGGACGTTGGGACAGTGGCGGGGACAGTGGGGAGAGTGGGACAGTGGTGGGTGCGGTTGTGGTGGGGACAGTGGTGAAGGCAGTGGTGATGACGGTGGTGGGAAAATGGGACAGTGGTTCAGTGGGGGGAGTGATCGCGACAATGGGGACAATGGTGAGGAGAGTGAGGACAGTGGGGCAGCACAGTGGGACAGCGGAAAGATCGTGGGAACATTGGGACAGTGGCGGGGACAGAGGGGAGAGCGGGCCCATGGTGGGGACAGTGGGACAGCGCAGTGGGGCGGCGGAAAGACAGTGGGGACAGTGCGACGGTGGTGGGGACAGTGGGGACAGTGGGACAGTGGTGAAGACAGTGGGAACAGTGGGGAGAGTGGGACCGTGGTGGGGACAGTGGTGGGGACAGTGGTGGGGACAGTGCGACGGTGGTGGTGGCACTGGTGGAGACTGTGGGGACGGTGGTGGGACCAGTGGACAGTGGGACAGTGGTGGGGGCAGTGGGGAGAGTGGGACAGTGGTGAGGGCGGTAGTGGTGGGGACAGAAGGTGAGGGCAGTGGTGCGGACGGTGGTGGGGACCAGGGAGTCGTTTGCCTGCGGGGGGACCAGGGAGTCGTTTGCCTGCGGCGAGTGGGGGGGGTTCGAACGAACCGGTCAAGCCGGTAGGTACGACCCTCTCAGGTTTCCCGGGGGGGGGGGGGGAGGGGGGGAGGCTCGGGGAGGGGAGGAGGGGGAATGAGTTAGCATGGGGGGGGGATTCTCGGAGGGGGGGGAGGAAAAGGGGGGGAATTCTCCAGAGTAGAGCGGCGGTGGATCACGCTCTCTCTCTCTCTCTCTGTGGCACGATGGCTGCTCCCCCTCCCCCCCGAGCGGTGGCCGGTCGCGGCCACCTCTTGGGGGGAGGGGGAGAAGAGGAGACCCAGATTCCCGACATGCCCGAAGACGGGCCGAAAGGGCGTCAAAACGGCTCAAGAGAGCCTCAAGGCGGCCCAAGAGGGCCCCGAGGTGGCCACAATATGATCAGGATGGCGAGAGAGAGAGAGGGGGACTACACTGCTTCTGCATATAACGGTGGCCTTTCGCCAGAGTGACCTTGGTGCGGGCACGCTGGTCGCCATGAAGGGAAGAGGCCCTGAGGCAAACATGTCCTGAGGTTTCTGTTCGCCGCTCTGGGCTTCCAGGAACCTCCACTGGCCCTGGGCCTGTCAAACAGTTACCCAGCGTGAAGAATTGTTCCTAGGGGAATTGCCCAGGGGTGTCCAGGACCCGGAGGCTATAGCGTGGGGGGGGGGGGGACGAATCACTGCGACAGCATGAGGGAAGGTGCTTGTTTCGCCAACCTCGCTCGACGATGGGGCCACCCAGAGGTGTTGAGCACCTGTGCAGACGCCTGAGCCTCGAGCATCAGAGGCTACGTGACAGAGAGCGGCAGCATCCATCTTCGGGAATTGGTCGCTTGTCGCCTGAACTGATAAGTATATGCTTTCACCGTGCTGCATTTTTCATTTCGTGGTCGGCTCCCTAGTTGTCCGTTTCACGCTTTGCCTGCAGCCCCGCTACCCGTTTCACAACCGACACACATATTGGGGTCCAGAAAAAAAAAAAAACATTCACCATGTGAGAAGACCCAGCACGGGGCCGACCAGGAACGGATTCAATTCCCACTGTCACTCGGCCAGGAACGCTCTGGAAGCGCGGAGACAGGCAGGGCCAAGCATAATCGTGATCGTTTTTTGTTCATTGTTTGGCCGATCGGCGCGGGCCCCCCGACCCCCCCCCCCCTGTGGAGTAGATCTTGGCTGTTTTTGGGAACCTGTTTCGAGCGGGTGGGGTCTCCCCCACAACGGGCGCACGGTCCCAAGCAGCCGCACCAAGCAGGGGTCCAGGGCCAGACCCCCCCCCCTCACCCTCCCCTTCCGCCCGATGTCGAAACACCGAATAATAATAATAATAATAATACTAATACGAATAATAATAATAATGATAATAATAATACTACTAATAATTATGATAATGATAATGATGATGATGATGATGATGATGATGATGATGATGATGATGATGATGATGATGATAATAATAATGCTACTAATAATAAGAATAACAATAATAATAATAATAATAATAATAATAATAATAATAATAATAATAATAATAATAAAGAAACTCACCAGGGCGAGGGCACCTGGGCCCGGGTGGGCAAGCAGGCCTGGCGGCTCGCCTTCCGCAGGCGACCTGCGCGCTGCGCTTGGGGCCAGCAGAAGTCAGCAGCCCAAGCCACGCTCCCAAGGAAGACGGCGAACTGGTCGGATTATAGTGCTGAATCGACCAATTGCGGAATGATCGTGAAGTCTTCTAGCAACATGCCAGGAGTCGCTGCAAGTTGATCGTGGGCCCGATAGAACCATCCAAGCGAACGGCTCGCAAAGTGAGCGTAGAAGGAGTTATCGAAGAACATCCCGCCACAACAGATCACGGATAAGACGGTGCCACTCGCGTCCGGCATGGGCCACTCCCACTCCTAAGATTGCGAGTTGCCAGTTGGTGCATCAGCGTAAGCTCCGAAAAACGCTGTTCATAATAGGGAACGGACTGCGATGAAGCCTCTCGACGAGGAGGGGGGGGGGACCCAGATCTCCGACGATCTGATTCAGTTCGGCGTTTTTTCTTCGATTTCGGCTTCTGGGGGCCGAATCGTCACCTGGGGCCACCCAACATTGATCCAGGATGAAAAACTACACCTGGGGAAGGGGTCGCGACCTCTAAGGCCGCGGATTATGCAAACAAAAACAACGTATCGGTGGATGTCAGGGGAGTGGGACGAGTGAGGGAGAAAAAGCAGGAGGAGCGGGAAGAGCAGGAGGAGAGGAGGGAGGAGCAGCCCGAGACCTTCCAGATTCCTCCCCCCCATCCATCACCAGCTGCTCCCATCCCCCTTCAGCCTGAGCGGACCTGGGAATTTTCGGCCAGCCCAAAGGAAAGGCGCGTACGGACCGGCGCCAGAGGAGACGATAAAGAAGGAGGCGCTGCTCCAGGACGCCCTGCGAGGAGGAGGAGGAGGAGGAGCATCAGCTGCTGCTGAAGGAGCAGGAGGATGATGAGGACGAGGAGGAGGAGAGCATCAGTTGCAGAAGCAACAGGAGAGGTGGGAGGACGAAGAAGAAGAGGAGTAGTGGATGGGATTGGGCTCTTCCTTTGCCAAGCCGAGATGCGCCAAGGAGCGGGAGTAGATTCCGTGCCACTCCTGTTGCGCCCGGGACAGCGAGTGCGCGGCAGGCCGTGGCGGGGACCTCATGAACTGCCCAGACTCGCTCCTCGCGCCAGCCCGTCACAGCTCCCATCCAGCGTGGGTCACCACCCGCCCCTTGGGGCGCCGACCGACGTAGGGCCAAAGGCAGGAACTGTCGCCACGATCGCACGCGGACGAGCCACGATCGCAGAGCCCTAGCGGTATTGCACGGCAGGAGACCCTCACGAGCCGAGATCACGATGCATCGAGCAGAGGGTGTCGGCGAAATTGCTGAAGCGTTGCGCCCGGACACGTGCGCGTAGCTCAGGAACTCCAGCCATACGACCTCCTGCGCCTCTGTCCGACTTCCGGTTGTCACCCGGCATGCTCTTGCGGCCAAAGTCTGGCCGCATGAGCGTGCAGGCTTTGCTCAGCCGATCCGTGGGCGACATCTGCTGCCGCGGCCGTGGCTGCAGAGCCTCCAGATCATGGCGCTACTCCAGGCGATCCCTGTGCCGACATCTGTGGCCCGGGCCTAGCCCCAGCCGTGGAGCAGCGCCACCGCCCACAGGTCTTGCGGCCACGGCCGCAGCAGACGTCGCCCACGGATCGGCGGAGCAGAGCCGGGGTCCCTGCCCCCACTCGCACGGGACCCCCGCTCGAGGACCGGGACTAGCTCGGCAATGCTGGACCGCTGGAGGGGGATCGGCATCAGCACAAATCTCAGGTCCAGCTGCACCCGCTCAGGAGGAGCGGGCACGCGCACGACCTCCACGTGGGTTAGGATGTTCCAACCTACTTTAACCTTGATCGCCAGAATGAATTTCGAGCCCCAGGAAAACACCCCAAAACTTGAGGGTTTTCACGTGTCGGGCACTGGGAGACACTCTTTCGGCACTGTTTCGACACTCTCTCGACACTTTTTTGGGTGCTCGAAATTATTTCTGGGATGTGGTCCTTAAGTACGATGGGAGCAACATAACGCTTGGGAGGCAGCCCCAGCCTCAAGCGCAGCAGCAGGGGCAGCTGCGAGACGGGTGCTTTGCGAACCTCGACGGGTGGACACAGCTGCGCATGCCTCCAGCAACCATCGATGCTGCTCACGCCGCGCTGCAGCGGACTGGCTTCAGGAGGGGAAACACACACAGGCACACTTCATCTTCGATTCCCCCGAAAATATGGAAAAATATGGGAAGTGGGCGGGGAAGACAAACACCTAGAAAATATGTGAAGGTATGGGGTGTCCTGTCATTTGTGTGTGTGTATTTCTCTGTGTGTCCCAGGGCCCCTTCCTGGTTGGGCCGCCGCTGAGGCACCTTGGCAGCGCCCGACGGTGCGGCCATGGCGAGCAGCCCACGGAGGGAGTGGACCTCAGCGAGGAGCTCCGTGGCGCTGGCTCGGCGCAGGAGGGACCTGCTCGAGCTGATCCGAGGAGGAGGAGGAGGAGGAGGAAGAGGACCAGTGGAAGCCCAAGACGCATCCAAGATCTTGCAGTAAACCCTTCCTCCACGTTCCCTCTTCATAGGTCCCTACAAGGGCTCGTTTTCACTGAGGTAGGTGCCCCGTTGGAAGACAACCGCCTGAAAATCTGGATCTGTGCCAGAACACCATACCTGGGGCTTCAAGACCCCGAATCGACGTGACTGCTACGCCCTGACATTCCGACATCATGCCAAACAACCTGTCTGAGACGTTAACCATGAGAATCTTTGAAAGCGCCGCAAGCCCACAAGACGAATGTGCGCGGCGCTAAGGCGAGGGCCACATGTTGAAAAAAAAAACCGCACTCCATCCGTGAAACTTCTACAAACTTGTTAAAGCAAATTTGCGCTGCGCTCTGGCGAGAGCAACATTTTCTAAACGGCCCGCCCTCCATCCGCGAAGCTTTTGCCACCTCTTAACATTTTCAAATTCGAAACGCATGCGCGCGGCGCTAAAGCGAGAGCTACATGTTGAAAGCGGCCCGCCCTCATCCGTGAAACGGTTGCAACTTCCAAGCTTCAGGATCATGAGTAATGATGGAATATCAAGGAAAACGCCTGGCCCGCCCTTTCGACCGGCCTCGGGTTGCGACAGGGAGGAGTTGCCTATATGGAAGAGGGACTGAGGAGCAGGATAAGGATGAGGAGGAGGAGGAGGAGGAGGAGGAGGAGGAGAGGGATGAGGAGTGGCCTTGCATGTCAGGCTTGCGGTAGTCGCCGATGGGTTCACATCAGTAGGCTCCTGGTTTGATTTGCCTTTTACGTCCAGGTTGCGGTGGCTGCTGGGGTGGCTGTCCAGGAGGTATCGCCCGTAGGCTGCTGCCCCCAGTTGACACTGTCACGTACATTTGTAGGTCCAAGGTTGGTAGTTTCGGCCGTCAGAGTACGCTGGAGCGCCCGCGACCGTGGAGGACGACATCTCCGAACGCGTCAACTACGCGGTGTTGGACAATCAGAAGGCGAGGGGTCGGGGGGCAAGGCGCACCCGCCGAGGCGCGGACGGAGCAGCTCGTCGGGTGCCCCGCGCTGCCGCATAGCCGCCTCCAGTCCTCGCGTGACTGCCCCTGGCATCCTTCGGAGGCGCGCCCAGGAAAGCAGGCAGAGGGGGCGGGCCTGCTCAGGAGGCTCAGAAGGCCTCCAGCAGCCTTCTGAGAAGCCTTCTGAGAAGGCTTCCAGGCCGTCGTCGGAGGCACGGGCGGCTTCCCAGAGAGGCGCCAGGGCGTCTAGGAAGCCCCGCCGCCTTCGGAGAGGGCCTGCCCCCTTCGTCACCCCCCCCTCCTCGGCGCGCCGCCAGATGGTGCCGGGCAACGGGCCTCCTCCCCCCCGAGTTTGGACGCCCGAAATGGGTACGGAACGAATGGGCACAATGTCCAACAACAAGTGTTGTCCCGAACCAACAGCGGCCGCTGTTGGGCAGGCGGCCTTCTGTTTCAAATGGACACAGGCCGCGGCGGCGAGGACAGCGAGTCCAGTTCAAGATGAACAGGAACCCGGGGTCCCCCTACAGGGGGATTTTCTACGAAAAATAACAAATACCCCAAAAAATACCCCAAGAAGGCCAACAACTATTCAAAAAATAGTACCCAGACTATTTTTTGCATTTTTTTAAGAATATGTTGGTGGTATTATTCATTTTTCGTCGAACCCCCCCTGTAGGGGGACAGGCCCGACTTAAAACTCTAGGGGGACGGGCCGCCTCGCATGATGATCCCTGGGCCCGGAACTGGGCTTAAGTCGGGCCTCTCCCCCTACAAGGGGATTTTCGGCGAAAAAAAAAAGACCCCACAAATGATATAAGAAATCCAAACATAGTCTGGGGGCTATGTTTTCAAAGTCTTTGTCTCAACCTGTTCGGAGTATTTTGGGGGGTATTTTTTTGGTTTTCGTGGAAAATCCCCCTGTAGGGGGACGGGCCCGACTCACCTCCGGGGCCGCACGCGGGGGCTGGCCACGGCGAGGCCGCCGCCCCCGGCCCGTGGGGTGGGTGCCTGCTCGCGCTCGGGGGGGCGGCTGGTGCGGCAGGCTGCACGGCCGCGTGCTCGGTGTGCGTGCGCGTGCCCGGTCTTGCGGAGGAGGGAGGGGGGGAGGGGAGGGGAGGGGAGGGAGGGAGGGAGGGGGGAGGGAGGGAGGGAGGGAGGGAGGGAGGGCGAGAGGGAGGGAGGGGAGGGCGAGAGGAGGGGAGGGAGGAGGAGGAGGAAGGGAGGGAGAGGAGGGGAGGGAGGGAGGGAGGGGAGGGGGGAGGGAGGGAGGGGGGAGGGAGGCCTAGGCGTAAGCAGCGATGTACAATTCGAATGCGTCCCCACGGGTCCCCTTGGTGAAGGGGGAGGGGGGCTAACTCTGGCGCCCGTGGGTTTCGAGGAGGGAGGGAGGGAGGGAGGAGGGAGGAGCTGCGCGCTGGTGTGCGTGCACGGTCTCGGTCTTCCGGAGGCTGCCAGAAGGGTTCGTGGGGCAAGGCCGGCATCGCTATAGACTCGTGGTGTTCCAGCCTATTTTGTAGCCCTGGTCACCAGCAAGAGTTTCGAGCACCAGGGAAGTGCCGAGGCTGGAGGGTTTTCACGTGTTGGGCCCTGGGAGGCGATACTCATTCGACACTGCTTCGATACTTTTCTGGGTGCTCGACATCATTGCTGGGATGCGGTCCTGCAGTACGATGCGAACAACGTGACGCTAGACCCGAGGTCCCCCCCGGCCCGACCGAAGGCCCCACAGCTCGACCCGAGGCGCCCCGGCAGCCGTCGGAATCGCCCTTCCCGGGAGCCAGACCTCCTCGCCGTGCCCGGATGTTCCCCTGGGCCCCTGGCGCAGCGGCAGGGCGGCAGAGGGTGGCAGGGGGGCTTCGCGCACACTGCTGGCTCAGAGGCCAGGGCCGTGGGCACATGGGCTGCCCTCCCGCGCACTGGCCGCGGCCGAAGCAGATGCTACGAAGACGCGGGGCTGCGCACGCGCACACGCACACCCACGCACCCACCCACCCACCCACCCACACACACACACACACACACTGACTTTCGTACGGGTCAGGTGAACCACCTCTTTCGTGCGAGGGGGCCGACGGGAGAGCGGCGACGACCAGCGGGTTGGCTTGGGCGATGGCAGTTGCGTCCTCATCCTCCTCCCTCCTCCTTGTGCATCCCCTCTTCCTTCCTCCCTGAAGTGAGGAAGAAACACCCCGATCCCATAATCGGCGTTTGCTAGACGGCCATGGGCGTTTGCTGAACGGTCTTGCTATGCTCGATTCCTCCATCAGGCGCGTTTACTATGGGACTTCTGGTGTCGGAGTGTTCCTTACGAGGGGGGGTTATTATGCCCACGATTCCTTCCTTCTCTTGCCTGATGCTGCACTTCCTCCTCATCGTCCTCCTCCTCCTCCTCCTCTTTCCTCCTCCTCCTCCTTCCTCATCCTTCTCACCTTCCTTCTCGTCCTCCTGCTCGTCCATCTGCTCATCCGCCACCTCATCCTCGTACACAGCTCCTCCATTCATATTGCACATAAAACGGTGGGGTCCTTTTGGGTGTTCCAGTTTACGACACCCGATGGCGGATATAGAGAAATGATATCGCAATGGGAAGGGATGGGAGGGAGGGGTCGGCTGTCAGATGTGGCGCGAGCGCACCTAGCTTGCGGCCTCCCTCGATCTGCCTCCTCCTCCTCCTCCTCCTCCTCCTCATTCTCCCCCCCTCCTTCTCACACTCCTCCTTCCTCCAGCTGCCCCCGCGCCTTCGCACCCCACTCCTCGCCTCGTCGGGTCTGCGCCATGAGCTCTCCGCCTTGCCCCGCTCGCAGAAGGGGAGACTCCTGGGGCTCGCGCCCACACCGCTCCACTCCGACACGCACACGTGCGCGAGGGCCAGCGGCGGCACCGAGCACGGCCAGGTAAGCCTCGCACCCGTCGGTGCGCGAGCAGAGAGCAGAGCGTGCGGCCAACGTGCCTTTGGCAGCGTGGCCAGCTTTTTACTACGCGCTCCCACCTCGCGAGCTGCACCGCCGCCGTGGCGGAAGTAGCTGGCGAGCCGCGCGTGGGAGCCAGGAGGAGGAGGAGGAGGAGGAGGAGGAGGAGGAGGAGGAGGAGGAGGAGGAGGAGGGGAGGAGGAGGAGGAGGAGGAGGGAGGAGGAGAAAGAGGAGGAGGAGGAGGAGGAGGAGGAGGAGAGAGGAGGAGGAAGGAGGAGGAGGAGGGGGAGGGGGAAAAGGGGAGGAGGAGGAGGAGGAGGAGGAGGAGGAGGAGGAGGAGGAGGAAAGAAGGAGGAGGAGGAGGGGAGGAGGAGGAGGAGGAGTGAGGAGGAGGAGGAGGAGGAGGAGGAGAGGAGGAGGAGGAGGGGGAGGGGGAGGAGGAGGGAGGAGGAGGAGGAGGAGGAGGAGGAGAGGCGGCGGCGGAGGCGGCGGCGGCGGCGGCGGCGGAGGAGGAGGAGGAGGAGGCGGCGGCGGAGGAGGAGGAGGAGGAGGAGCAACTGCCAGGGAACTGCAGCACTGAGCATGGCCAGTGGCACGAGGGCCGGCCCCCTCCGGCGAGGCGGCGCGGCGAGGGCCCGCCGAGGTCCCCCGAGGGAGCTGCACCGCCGCCGTGGCGGAAGTAGCCGGCGAGTCGCGCGTGGGAGCCAGGAGGAGGAGGAGGAGTGAGGAGAGGAGGAGGAGGAGGAGAGAAGAGGAGGGAGGAGGAGGAGGAGGAGGAGGAGGGGGAGGAGAAAGAGAGAGGAGGAGAGGAGGGAGGAGGAGGAGGAGGAGGAGGAGGAGGAGGAGGAGGAGGGGAGGGGGAGGAGGGAGGAGGAGGAGGAGGAGGAGGAGGAGGAGGAGGAGGAGGAGGAGGAGGAGGAGGAGGAGGAGGAGGAGGAGGGGGAGGAGTGGGAGGAGGAGCAGGAGGAGCAGGAGGAGGAGGAGGAGGCGGCGGCGGAGGCGGCGGCGGAGGAGGAGGAGGAGGAGGAGCAGGACAACTGCCAGGGAACTGCAGCACTGAGCATGGCCAGTGGCACGAGGGCCGGCCTCCTCCGGCGAGGCGGCGGGGCGAGGGCCCGCCGAGGTCCCCCGAGGGAGCTGCAGCTCCCCGGAGATCTGGGCGTCGCGGTGCTTCCACGCCTGGCATGCTCGCCCAGTTCCGGGCCCAGGGATCCTCCTCCTCCTCCTCCTCCTCCTCCCTCCCTCCCTCCCTCCCTCCCTCCCCCTCCCTCCTCACTCCTCATTCCTCACTCCTCCCTCCTCCCTCCTCCCTCCACGCCTGGCATGCTCGCCCAGTTTTAAGTCGGGTTTGTCCCCCTACAGGGGGATCTTCTGCGAAAAATCAAAAATATCCAAAAATAATATAAAAACCATAAAAAGTCTGGGGAGTATTGTTTGAGTATTGTTTGACCTCTTCGGTGTATTTTTGGTGTTTTTTATCTTTCGTTGAAAATCCCCCTGTAGGGGACAGGCCCGACTTAAGCCCAGTTCCAGGCCCAGGGATCATCATGCGAGGCAGGGATTTATCCATGTCCACCGCCTGGGAACCGACGCCCTGGTGACCCAGCGGGCGGTGGATATGGATATGTTTCGGCCCCCGGGGACCCGAATATGTCCATATCCACCGCCTGCCGAGGCTCCGAAAACTTACCCTCCCAGCGGTGGATGTGGATAAATTCCCGCCTCGGACATCACGGACCGACCCAGCTCGACAAGTGCGACAAATGGAGGTCCAGGGTCAAGTCGGGCGTGTCCTCTACAGGAGGAATATTCCACAATAGTCCCACAATAGTACGGGGACGTTTTTTTTGCTATGTCTGACAATTTGGGAATATTGTTAAAATATTTGTTATTTGTCGTCCAAAATCCGCCTGTAGGAGAACATGCCCGACCCAAGTCTAGGGCTCCGGTCGCGATGTTTCACGATGTGGCAACTTCTTCGCAGCCTCGGGTCTCAGGGTCGCTCGGGCGCAGCGCGCCAGTGCAGCAGGGCAACGCACCGCGGCGTGCAGCAGGCAGCTGCGCCTCCTGGGCGCTCTCAGAGTGTCTTGGAACGCTCCGAGAAGGCCGCGGCGCCCGATACATCCTCCAGAGCCTCTGGACCTCAGAGATTCTCGAGTCATCCCCGCCCGATGATAGCCTCGTCCTGGCGCCATCCCACATGGCACCGGTATTCTTGGGCCCAGGGTCGGCCCGGCTGCGATCGGTGTGGGTGGACGGCCAGATCCTGAGTTCCTGCCATTGGGGGAGGGCATCATCACCCAGTTGCAGCAGTACGGCTACTGTTTGATCGACGGCTTCCTCGGGGGCAAGATCCACGGGCGCCCTCCCCCCCTCGGCACTCGGGCCCGTGGCACCAGGACGTCAGACGAGGCGTGGGGGAAGAGGAGAGGAGGCGGAGGAGGAGGAGGAGGAGGAACTCTATAGGAACTCTTATGATGGGAGACAAAAGTCCAACGCCGAAATCATGCCTCCGCACGAGGTCTCGAAAAGCAGCGCCTCCTGCCCGCACAAGAGCAGTATGCCATCGCCGAGGCTCTCCGTGTGCAACGGCGAGCCAAGCTCAGTTCACTCCCGCCTCCGTGCAGAGGCACGCCTTTGCTTCGATGGCAGCAGCAATGCTCACGGGCGCTTCGCGCCTTCCCCCGCGGCAGCGGCGTTGGCGCTCCACGCCAGCCGCCCTCTGGCCGCCGCCGCTGGGCCACCAGCCCTCAACCCCAGCGGGGGAGTGGACCGCAGGTGGACTGAGCCCCAGGGGGACGAAAGGAGAGGGGGGGGGAGAAGAAGGAGGAGCCCAGAGGAGGGAGGAGGGGAGGGGCACAGTCCCCCCCGCAGCCACCCCCCCTCCCCTGAGGGAGGCGCACCCCGAAGCCCGAAAAGGCAAAGGGCCCCGCCTCCGCGGGTCCTTGGAACGGTCGCCCGCTGCACACTCGGGTTTTGTATACCGACCCCCGACCGGTAGTTGACCGCCTCGGCCCCCCAGTTCTTGAGGGAGCCCCTGGCATCCAAGCAGGGGAGGAGAAGGAGGAGCAGGAGGAGGAGGAATGAGAAGAAGAGAGAGAGAGAGAGAGAGAGAGAGAGGAGGAGGAGGAGGAGGAGGAGGAGGAGGAGGAGGAGGAGGAGGAGGAGGAGGAGGAGGAGGAGGAGGAGGAGGAGGAGGAGGAAGAGGAAAGAGGAAAGAGGAGGTGCCTCGCTGAATTGCCCCATTGACCCCTCTAGGAGGGGAGAGAGAGGGACAGGGGCAGGGACAGGGGGGAGACTTCTGGGCCAACGGCCTGGGCCCAGCAGGCCTCCCTGCTCCTCCCATCGAGCCAACTGCGCAACTGTTCATTCGGGCCCCGCCTCTCTTTGCGCACTGGAACGAGAGACGAGGGCGCCTGTGAGGCTATTTCCGGCGGGCGGGCGGGGGACCGTGGCAAGCCCTGGACCCGTGCCAGGAAGCAGTGCGGTGGAGTGTCTTGGCGGACCGGCCATGCGGCGTCGCTTCCGTTGCCTCTTTTCCTCTGGAGCCGGCGGTTGCAACCGGATGGGGGAGGACGGATGGGAGCGGCGCGGTGCGGTGCGGTGTCAACGCACATCTTCCTCCGTATCTTCCCCCTCCCCAATCCCTCCCCCCATAACCCGGCTTCTTCTACTTCTTCTCCACCCCTTCTCCTCTCCGTTTCCCCCCTTTATCCCTCTTTTTCTCTTTTTCGGCCTGTCTGACACCTGGCACCTTCGGAGGCAGCCTGGGGGGTCCTCCGGGACGTCATGCTGCGCTTTAGGGCTGTCTGGGGGCTTTCGCATTCAAGCCCACGAGTATTCCTGGGGAAGGTCGAGGCGCACATGCCAGCCATGCAGTTTACAGCGCACAGGATCCTGGAACGTCCAAAGTTTCCGCGGCGGTTCGGCTATAAAGGTCGACGAGTTGTCGAATATCATGGACGAGCAAGGCATCGATGTATTATGTATCCATGATGCACACTTGAACGGTGCCGAATACTATACGCAACATGGTTTTTCCATTGTCTTGTCTGGCAGTGCCAACCTGGACGAACGATCGTAAGCAGGTGTTGGCTTCATCGTATCGCCCCGCATCCGCTCCGCAGTGGTCGCCTTCAAGGCGTGTGACGATCGAACCTGCACGCTGCGATTGAAAGTATGTGGGGGTATGCTTACTTTATTGTCAGTGTAGGCCCACAGAGCGGCATCGACTTCGAGTTGAGACAGCGATTTGTCCATAGACTCCAAGACGTGGGTTGCCCCACAACCGGGCATCCCACAATTTTTACGATTGGAGATTTCAGCGCCAGACATGGCCGAGTACAGGCTGGAGAAGAAGACATCGCCGGCCCGCACCTGTACAAGACTACGCATACATAAAACAACGAGCCGCACTCGAACCAGAGTCTTCTTATTGAAGATGGTTTGCGTACGACCTCACGGTGGCCAATATTTTCTTCAACCAATCTGATCATCGACAAGCATATTACCGCGATTAGCGTGTACCACCAATAGCAGATGAAGGCGAGGAAGGTTTTGGACAGATCAACCACAGTTTGTGTCATCAAGACAACTCCGCCGGTAGTGTTGATGGTTGAACCTGCCGAAAAGTGGCACTCTGCACCCATGATTATGACCTCACAGATGCGCACACCTCGATACAGTCCAAAGTGGAGGAATCCCTACAGAAGAGCAGAAACGCGTCGACGAACCGTCGTTGAAAGAACATGCGGCCCATAATGTTTCCGAGCCAGGTTTCACGAACGCAACTTGCGCGGACTACCAGATTGTCACATCGGAGGAAGCCGTGGCATATATGCACCCAGCTTTCCACGCAGCGGCATCGACTTTACCAGACAAGGCCGGACACTTCAGACGCCCGTGGACAACCCTGCAAACAATCATTTGATCGCGGACTGGGAACTACGCCAACCAAAAGCCCCTCAACAACATGATCTGCAAGTCCGGCAATCGAGACCGCAAGACATGGCTGGAAGAATATGTGGGTGGATGGGACGTTGCACAATATTTTCGCAAGCCGAAGCTGGTCAGACCTGCGGCCATTATGAAATCAGATGGGACGTTATCCGATACGGCCGAACGGGCAAACATCATTGCATATTATTTCGAATCAGTGCAATGGCAGAGCCGAGCTCTTGATGTACAACCAGAAGCTCCCTCGCCGTTTGGTTATACTTTTCCTATTTGTACAGATGGTTGTACGATGGATGAGCCGTTGACGGTGTTACAGAAGCTCAAATCTGGAAAAGCAGCGGGTCCCCACGAGATCCCTTCTGATTGCTGGAAGGCGTATATGTGTGATAGCAGCGCAAGTTGTGTGTTAGCACGTTTACGTCAGCAGTGTTGGGATAAGACATCGCGTCCGAATTCCTGGAGGCGAGCCAAAGTTGTTCTTCTTTTTTTCCAGAAGGTGGTACAGCTTTACCAGAAAACGACAGACCCACTTCATTATTTTCAGTTGGATATAAGATTTTGGCGGCACCGATACACCAGAGGCTATTGCAAGGCGGTTCCGAAACACGCACGCGCGACTCCCACTGCGGATGTCGCCCAGGATGTGGAACTGCAGACGCATTTATGCTTTCGAGACGCATGATCGATGCTGCACATTGCAATGTGGATGGAAGGCGATTGGGCTGATGCTGGACTGGGCCAAAGCCCTCGACAGTTAAAGCTGGGACTCCATGCGCAAAGCTCGGGAAAGATTTGGGCTTCCTGCCGAGATAGTGAAGATGGTGCGCTCCATTTTCTCGCCCCTCCTTTTCTTTATCCGAGACCGCAAAGGCGCCTCGACCGAGAGACGGCAGAACGCTGGAATCGCAAAGGGGTGTCCGCTCTCTCCGTGCTTCTCCATGGCAGTCCAGACAGTCATGCTGCACGACGCCATCGATCCGCTACACCGGGACGAGGAGCTCAGATATGTGGTCACCCGGGATGTTTTCTATGCCGGCGACGCGTTGCTAGTATCCCAGCACTAATGCAACCTCCATGCCTCCAGAACATGCCGAACGCGATCCTTGAGGAGGGGCGCAAATATGGTGTGGAGATTAAGTGGGGAAAGCAGCACGTATGCAAATCTTTGACAGAGCGTGTTCTACCTTTGCTGGCGGAAAACTGGGGGGGTCACTACCGGTTCAAATCCCCTTCCCCTCCGGGAAACCGGGGACGGTCGCTACTGGTTCGAACCCCCCCCAGTCCATCATGAAAAGGGGTGGGTCAGTGCTGGTTCGAACCCCCCCCCCCTCGAAAACCGGGGGGGGGTCACTACCGGTTCGAACCCCCCCCCGCCCCGTCCCCTCGAAAACCGGGGGGGGGGGCGGACAGTGGTGGGGACGGTGGTGGTGGGGGCAGTGGTCTGGGAACAGCGGGACAGTGGTGGGGACAGTGGGACAGCGGTGGGGACGGTAGTGGTGGGGACACTGGTGAAGGCGGTGGTGAGGACAGTGGTGGGACAGTAGCACGGCGGGGAAAGTGGTGGGGACAGTGGGGACAGTGGGGACAGTGATGGGGACAGTGATGGGGACAGTGGGGACGCCGGGACAGCACAGTGGGACAGCGGCGGGGACAGTGGGACAGTAGTGGGCACAGGGGGGAGCAGTGGGACAGTGGTGGGGACCGTGGGGAAAGTGGGGAGAGCGGGACCGTGGTGGGACAATGGTGGGGAGAGTGGGGACATTGACGCGCTGGCGGGGGCACTTGTGGGGACAGCGGGGACAATGGTGGAAACAGTGGGGGCAGTGGGACAGTGGCGGGGACGGTGGTGGTGGGGACAGTGGTGTGGGGACAATGGGAATTTGGTGGAAGCAGTGGGACAGTGGAGGGTGCAGTGGTGGTGGGGACAGTGGTGAGGGCGGTGGCCAGGACGTCGGTGGGACAATGGGGCAGAGGTACAGTGGGGACAGTGGTGGGAACAGTGGGGACAGTGATGGGAACAGTGGGACAGCTCAGTGGGACAGCGGAGGAGACAGTGGGAAAGTGGGGGCAGTGGGGATAGTCGGGCAGTGGTTGGGGCCGTGGAAAAAGTGGGGGGAGTGGAACCGTGGTGGGAACAGTGGTGGGCACTGGGGACTGCGACAGTGGTGGGGGCACTGGTGGGGACAGTAGCGTACGGTAGTGGAACCAGTGGGGACAGTGGTGGTGAGGACAGTGGTGCTGGAAGCAACAGTGGGGAATGTGGTGCGGACGGTGGTAGGGACCAGGAATCGTTTGCTGGCGGTTAGGGGGGGGTCGAGGAGGAGGGGGGGGGGGCTCGAACCGGTAGTGACCCACCCGGTTTTGGGGGGGGGGGGTTCGAACCGGTAGTGACCCTCCAGTTTTCTTGGGGGGGGGGGGGGTTCGAACCGGTAGTGACCCCCCCCCGGTTTTCCGAGGGGGGGGGGCTCGAACCGGTAGTGATCCCCCTCGGTTTTCCGAGGGGGGGGGGTTTCGGGAGAAGGGGGGTTTCGCCGGGCGGGGGGGAGGGTTCCAGCAGGGGGGGGATTTTCGGAGGGGGGCGGGGGGGGGGCCCGGGCTCCGGAGGAAGAGGGGGGGAATTTTCCAGAGTAAAGTGGCGGTGGATCACGCTCTCTCAAATCTTTACACAACAAAAATTTACGACACCGAGTGGCGGGACGCTGTATATCTGAGAAGTTCGCATACGTGTGACGAGAGAGCGTCTGCGGAGCCATGCAGAATATTAGAGCAAGCAGGCAAGCTTCCCAATTCACTTAGCAAGCCTTGGTCGCACGCAACTCTTGGCTGGGAACGAAAACGCAAGACATATGACAGCGCTGTTCTGAGCAAGCTATTATAGTATTTTTTTTTTCTGTGGCTGTTGAAAGCAGACAGATGCCGGTTCGATGTTTTCCACTGCCGATGTTTGCGACGCCTTCTTGGAATGCCACACTCTTTCATACCGCAGGTCAACAACGCACGCGTTGTCGACCAGGCTGGGGCGAAACCGTCATCGCAATTTCTGGCTGGTAGACAAATTAGATTGTATCACACAGTTGCTGCGCATAGGCCTGCTGATTTGGTAAATCGTCTTGTCTGCAGTGGCGACGGGTATCCGAAGAATTGGGCCTTTAAACGCAGCCGCGGACGACCGAGACAACGACGGACGTTTTCAGTTCGCAGTGTGTCGCAACATGTTTGAATAGGCGAGTAAATTTGTCATCGTCGTCATCGTCAGCCGTCGTCGTCGTCTTCAGGTGTGGCGTTTGGTCACATCTCCGTGCTTCGAGTTCTTCGCGTGGCGTTTGGACACACCTCTGCGCTTCGAGCGTTTCGAGTGGCGGTTGGTCACGCCTCTTTTCCTGCCAACGCGTCCACCTGGATCCATGCTTCTGCCTGTCTGCAGGGGCTCTGTTGGGAGGATCGTGGGCGGTCCTGGGGTCCCCTTGGGCCGATTTGGGGCCTTTCTGGGGGATCTCAGGGGCTGTCCTGGAGCTAGCCTGAAGGGCCCTTGGGCCGTCTTGGGCGGCCGAAGTCATTCGAACACATACGGATCATCAGTGTGTTGCGGTTCCTCGGAGGCCTCTTGGGGCCCCTTAGGCTGTCTTAAGAGGTCTTTGGCCCGTCTGATGCCTTCGGAGGCCGTCTACAGGATCTCTCCGGGCAGTATTGGGGCCCTCTTGGAGCGCTTTCGGGCCATTTGGGAGCTTTTGGGGGGTTCGGGCGATATTGGGCTCCTCTTGGCCCGACTTGGGGCCCTATTTGTGGGTCCCATGGGCTCCCCCCTCCCTCTTCTCCCCTCCCCCTCTCTGCTTCCTTTTTTCCTCCTCCGTCGATGTTCGAGGGCAAAACTTGGCACTCCCGCTCCACTCCTGTCATCCTCCTCCCCCTCCTCGTCGTGGTGTCGTGCTCTTTTTGGGGACCTGGTCCCCACGTGCGGGCTTCGCCACGTCTTGGCACTCGAGTCTTGAATCCTGCTGCTGTTGCTGCTGCTATTCCTCCTCTTCCTCCTCTGCGCGGCAAGCCTCGATCGGCAGCCGGGGTCACTTCTCTCTTGCCGGGAAGGATCGGCAGCCTGGACCCTTTCTCCTGCCAGGAAGGTTCCGAGGCCCACCTCTGCAGGAGAAGCCGTCCACGGGTAGTTGCTTGTCGGGCTTAGCTCGCCCAAGGAGGGCGGGAGCCCGTGGAGAGAGGTTCTCTCAAGTTCTGTCGCCTTTGTCGGGCCTCCAGAGGCCTCCGGGAACCTCCGGGGACATCCAGGGAGCTCCGAGCGTCAGGATCCGCGACGGCAGCAACAATTTACAGATGGGGGATAAAGGTGGAGGACCTCGCCCACCCGACTACTGCCGATCCGCTGCCCTCCCTCATCATCCTCCCTCCCGTCCCTCCCTCCGTCCCGTCCTCCGTGCCCCCCTCCTCTTTTTGGTCAACGATTGGAAGGATGTCCTCCCCTTGCTCCTGGCGGGGCGGGTGGCATCTGCGGCGAAGGGCGGACAGGGGCCGGGGCGTGAACCAGCCGCGGTCTGAGCGAGCAGCAGATTATCTCGGCTACAGGGGCGTTTGCGCCCAAGTGCGTTATCTCGGCGACAGCGCACTTCCGCCCAGCATGCGCAGTCTCCATCCCCCTTCTCCCTCCTCCTGCTCCCTCCGCCTCCCCTCCTCTCTCGTGCTCTCTGTCTCCTCTCATTCCTCCAGGGGGCGCGGTCAGATTTCCGCGCCCGCCGTTGCGCGGCGCAGCAGAATAGAACCACCCAGCAGGCACCCAGACCGGATACGGGACGAGCTGAAGAAGCTCTTCGACCGAGGTCGCATGGAGCGGCCAAAGCGCGCGATAAGAACAGAACAGTCACTCGGAGCAGGGAGCGAGAGGGGATTGGCAGCGGAGGTAAGGCGGCGGGCACCGACAGGCTGAGGGAGGACTCAAGGCTCTGACAGGCTCAGGGGGGAATGTCCAGGGGGTGGGCAGCCAGAGAGATCAAGAGGGTTTTGGGAAAGGGGTGGGCCGGGGAGGCGTCATTGCGTCAGACATGATGTTGATCCAGTCGTCTTCCGAACCACTACGGCATGCGCGTGGATGGACTTGCACGCGCTCGAACACGGGACATCCGCACAGGCAGTTGTGACAGGTTGCCCAGTCCTCCGTTTCTTTTTGGCATGGCATGGCATGGTTCGAGCAGGCGTCCTCCATTGCTGCAGCCTGCTGTCGTGGGCAAGGTTGCCTGTGTGCGTGCTGCTGCGTGGAGGAGAAGGATGAGGAAAAGGAAGAGGAGGCGGAGGAGGAGGAGGAGGAGGAGGAGGTGGACGGAGAGGAGGAGGAGGAGGAGGAGGAGAGGAGGAGGAGGAGGAGGAGGAGGAGGAGGAGGAGGAGGAGGAGGAGGAGGGCGGCACCCTGTGCCGCAGCGCCACCAGGGGCCGAGGGGAGCTCGGGCCTCCGGCCGCTCCTCGGCGCGCGTGGTAGCCAACGCTCGCAGGCTTCTGCTCAGGAGCTCGAACGCACGCCCTCTCCTCCCTCCTCCCTCCTCCTCCCTCCTCCTCCTCCTCCTCCTCCTCCTCCTCCTCCTCCTCCTCCTCCTCCTCCTCCCTCCTCCTCCTCCTCCTCCTCCTCCTCCTCATCCCCCTCCTCCTCCTCCTCTCTCCTCCTCCTCCTCCCCTCCTCCTCTCTCCCCTCCTCCTCCTCCTCCTCTCCTCCTCTTCCTCCTCATCATCATCATCCCTCCTCCTCCTCCTCCTCCTCCTCCTCCTCCTCCTCCTCCTCCTGCTCCTCATTTCCTCCTCCTCCTCCTCCTCCTCCTGCTCCTCCTCCTCCTCCTCCGCCTCCTCCGCCTGCAGCCCCGGCTCGCGCGCAGCGAGCCGCGACCCACGCTGGCGGCGCGGGCTTGCCAGAAGCGCCCCATTTCGAGAGCGGCGGGAGAGCGAGGCCGGGGGCCAGCCCCGGCGGGCACCCCTGGGCTCCCAGGGGCGAGGCACTGGGGGGGGGGGGGGGGGGGCGAGCGTCGGAGGGCCACGGGGCGAGAGAGGGGGCGGGGGTAGGAGGGGGAAGGAAGGGGAGGGGAGGGGAGGGGAGGGGAGGGGGCGCAGGGCGAGGCGGCGACGCGAGGGGTCGGGGACAGGAGTGGAGGAACGGGGGAGGGAGGGGGAGGAGGAGGAGGAGACGGCGGAGCAGTACGGGGGCAGGGGGCACAAGGAGGATGGGCCCCCCCCTCCTTTTTCCCTCGTCCGCCTCACAGTCCCGCTCGCCCTTTCTCCCCGCTCGCCCTTTCTCACCCCGTCCCCCCTTTCGGCAATGTTCCTTCCCCCCTCCCTTCTTTCCCCCTTCCCCTCCCGCCCCCATGCCCCCCCCCCCCTCCCCCGTCTCGCCCCCGAGGCTGGTTCTCGGAGGAGTCGGAGGAGGCCTCGGGCTTCAAGGTGGGCAGCTACAGGATACGGTACGACGACAGGACGGGGCCCAGCCGCTTGCGCCTGTCTCCACGCCTGCTTGACCTTGCGCGCATGATCATCTCGGGCGCCCGCGGGGGCGCAGAGGGAATCGCGCGTCGCGTGTCGCGGTCTGGGCCCGCGGGGGGCGCGAGGGCGCGGAGCTGCCCCCACCTCGCGGGGCGCGGGGCGCGGAGCCGGCTGGCCCAGAGCTCCAGCCAGGCCTGTCCAGCAGGGGTGTCCTGCCGTCCGCCCGCGTCCCCGGGGGGGCTGCGGTGCACCCGGAGGCCTCCTCTGCCAGGTCCGACGCGCAGTTTTGGGTGTCTGGGCCGTCGTGGTGCTGGGGCTCCGCGCAGGGGGCCCACACGGTTCTCACTCCCAGAGGCCGGCCCTCACTGGTCATGGGTGCATTACCCATCGGTCGTTGAAAGTATGTAGTTTTGGATTCCCAGATTCCAATCTGCTTTGAGCGCCTTCCTACTTCAAGAGTCGAGGGGGTTTCCCTCTTCCCTCCTCTTCAGGAGGCGGGCGGAAACCCAATCTATTTCCAACGCCTTCCTACTTCATGTTTCTACCTACTTCTTCCGACCGATGGGTACAGCTCCAGAAAGATGGGGGCGATGTTGCCCAAGGGGTAGTCCTCATAGGCTCCAGGTGGCATCGAAGCTTTCTAGGGGTCTTTCGAGATTTGGCTCTGGAGCGATGTGTGGCAGCTCTCCTGCGGACGAGCAGGCCGAGGTGCCATGACGCTGCTCCCGTGCCTGGCTCTCACGTCCCAAAGGGTGCACGCGTCGTGCGCCCGGTGGGCTCCCCATTGCCAGGACCTACCTCTGTGGCACGGTCTTGAGACAGGTTGCAACCTCCATGCGCACCGCGCCTCTCGCGCTGCCACGCGTGGGCCCCCGTCCCGGATCCACTTGCTGACGGTCCTGGGCCCGAGGTCCAGGAGGAACCGCCGGCTGAAAAGAGCACGCCGTCGGAGGTCTGAGCTGCGGACGCTGTGCTCCGCGTCTAGGTGGAGCGCGCCGGGTTCGGCCATATATATATATATATATACATATATATATATATATATACACATACGGTGGGGGCGTTCGTTAAGGAATGCGCCCAGGGGGCTTCAGACCCTGGAGGATTCCTTATCTGATGAGGGCGGCAGCGATATCCATGGCCAATCCACGATTGGCGTTCCACCAGATTCCAGACCCTGGATTCCTTATCCAATGGTTCGACGCCGATCAACCAGCTCCTCGGGGCCAAGGAGACGGTAACCTGGTCAGCCCACCACAAAGGCTGCTTGCGACGCTTGGCGTCGCTGGCCAGCTGGCCCCAGGCGCGGCTGGCGAGGCATGGGAGAGAGATCGACCCGCTTTGCAGGCTCTGCGGGACAGCCCCAGGGACGATGCACCACAGGCACCACGAGTGTCCAGCCTGGGAGGCCTGGAGGAGGGACTACTGCCCGAGCCAGGTGAGACGGGCAGCTGTGCAGGCCCACCGCATGGGGCCTCCTTTCGACGAGCTCTTCAGTCAGGGGCTCTTCGTGGACATCAGTCTCCTAGTGGCCAGGCCAGCCTGGAACGACAGCTGGGCAAGACGCTCCTGCGGATGGGGGGACGGCATACTGGTGGTGCCCGACGGGTCCTTTGTTTTCACCGACGGCTCGTGCCTGAACGGGGACTTCCCGCACGTCAGGAGCGCTGGCTGGGCGGTCATCGTCTATGGGCCAGATGGGAGGCTCATCGCCGAGGCGTGGGGCGCCGTGCCCCCCAACGACCTCCCGTCGCAGACGGCCAAGGCAGGAGAAGACTACGCAGCAGCCATCGGACTCGCTGACATCATTGGGAACTACACGCTGCTCAGCGACTGCTTGAGCACGGTGAAGGCTGCGTCCAACCTGGCCAAGGCCTGCCGCCCCAGCTCCCTGCACGCCCATGTTTGGGCCAGGGTGGGGGATGCGGCGGAGGGAGTCACCATTCGCAATGTGCCCGCCCACCGCTCGGAGGCCGCGGTGCAGGACGGGGAGCTCACCCTTTTCGAGCTCGTGGGCAACAGGAGAGCCGACACCAGGGCAAAGGAAGGTGCGGCCTTCCACGCCATTGCGGAGCAGGACGCCCTGATGCTCGAGGGCTGCCTGGCTAGAGCGAAGGAGGTGGCCAGATGCGCGGCGGACCTTGAAGTGCACATCACTGAGTCGGGGCTCAGGGATTCCTGGCCGCTCACCTCCCTGGACCTCGTGGACCTGGACCCATTCGCTCCGTCGCCTGACTGGGAGCAGCTGCTGAAGGCCGAGAACTCGGCTGCCCGCGCCCCTGGCGGTCTGGCGGCCCTTGGGGCGGCAGCAGGGCTCGTGACGGCAGCGGCGGCTTGCCAAGGAGACCAGGCCCAGGACCAGGTAGACAAGCAGGCCCGCAAGAGGAAAGGATCATGTGAGGGGCAGGCAGGGCCCAGTGAATCCGTAGCTGAGGCGTCGAGCGCGTCGGCGGCCTTGCTTCGTGCTTTCCAGCGCCGCCGCGCCGAGAAGGAAGAGCAGGCAACGACCTCGGCCGCGGGCGCACAGGGCCCGCCCCTGTCGGCAGTGTCGCAGTCTCTCCCCTTCTTCCCCGTTTGGGCCGCGGCCAGGCCTCGGAGTGCCCCCTCGGGTCCTGCTGGGCAGGCGAGGACACCAGGGACCCTGAGGGCGAGCCCCGTCGGGCCGAGTTCAGGGGATTCGGTTTTGTGCAATTCGAGTGCGGTCCTGCCCCAGGACGTCCCTGTCGAGACGGGAGTCTGGGATGTCAATGGACACAGTCTGCGTGAATCCCGAGTTTCGGGCGGGGATGGCCCCGAGTTGTTGGTTTGTGTGGTGTGCTGGATGTGCTGTCTGAAACCCCAGTACTGCCACATGGGGCCTAGCCAAGGCCTGTGTCGGGGCCCAGAGCGCTGACGACCCCAGGGCCAAAAAGGGCTCCAGGGCGCAGGCGAGAAATGATTTCGCGAAGTCGATCCTGCCTGGAAAATCCAAGCAGCCGGTCGACCAGCTGGCTCGGCCCACAGCGGCCACCCGTGCCAGGTGGGCCGAGGCGCTCGGCACGGTCGCGGGCCCAGACGCCGTGGAGGACCCTGCGGCCACTGCAGGCTCTAGAGCCCCCGCCGCGGAGCCCCCAGTGCTGCGGGATCGGGCACCCGCCCCGCCTGCCCTGGGGAGGCTGATCCGCCCAGGTCTCGAGGGAGCCCTGGGCTCCTTTGGCTTTGCCAGCGCTGCTGAGGCTCAGGAGCGAGGCAGGGCTTCCCGAGCGGCCAGTGCGTCGGACCCCAGGCCTGTGGTCGGGCGGAGCGCGGAGTGACGGTCGCGCTTCTGGGTCTGGGCCTGGTCGGCTGCGGGCCCGTGCAAGCGCTGTTTGCGGGGCCGTAAGTCGGCGGTCGAATTTGGCTGTGCATGACAAGCCCCAGGGTGATAGAATAAAAAAATGCCCTCACCGTATGGGTCCTGGCCCTCCTTGCTCCCCGCCTCCGCCTCCCCGAACGCCGCCGGCATCGGAAGCCGATGCCAGAGGCTCACGCCATTCCGCCGACCCCCGGGAGGGGATGTGGGTAGCTTCCGAGGGGCCTAGCTTCTGTTCGCCGCTCCGCGTCTTGCCGCGCGCGTGCAGCTGCTGCGCGGCTTCCGGGGGACGCCTCTCTAAGGAGGGGAAAAACACACAGACAATGAATCGTCGATTCCCGAGAAAATTATCCCGGCAAAGCAACCGAGCAGCGATGTGTAGGAGCATACCTGGAAGCATTCCCCTTAAGATTCAGATGAGGATCCAGTTGTAGAATTCTGCTGTTCTCGCAGTCGTAGTCGCATTCGCGATGACAGTCGCAGTGGCAACGGCAGTCGCAGTCACAGCCTCAGCCTCAGCCTGCCTCAGCCTCAGCCTCAGCCTGCCTCAGCCTCAGCCTGCCTCAGCCTCAGCCTCAGCCTGCTTCAGCCTCAGCCTCAGTCTGCCTTCAGCCTCGCCTCAGCCTGCCTCAGCCTCAGCCTGCATCAGCCTCAGCCTCAGCCTCAGCCTGCCTCAGCATCAGCCTGCCTCAGCCTCAGCCTCAGCCTCAGCTCAGCCTCAGCCTCAGCCTCATCAGCCTCAGCCTCAGCCTCAGCCTCAGCCTGCCTCAGCCTGCCTCAGCCAGCCTCAGCCTCAGCCTCAGCCTCAGCCTCAGCCTCCTCAGCCTCAGCCTCAGCCTGCTTCAGCCTCAGCCTCAGCCCTTCAGCCTCGGCCTCAGCCTGCCTCAGCCTCAGCCTGCATCAGCCTCAGCCTCAGCCTCAGCCTGCCTCAGCATCAGCCTGCCTCAGCCTCAGCCTCAGCCTGCCTCAGCCTCAGCCTCAGCCTGCTTCAGCCTCAGCCTCAGTCTGCCTTCAGCCTCGGCCTCAGCCTCAGCCTGCCTCAGCCTCAGCCTGCATCAGCCTCAGCCTCAGCCTCAGCCTGCCTCAGCATCAGCCTGCCTCAGCCTCAGCCTCAGCCTGCCTCAGCCTCAGCCTGCCAGCCTCAGCCTCAGTCTGCCTCGGCCTCGGCCTCAGCCTCAGCCTCAGCCTGCATCAGCCTCAGCCAGCAGCCTGCCTCAGCCTCAGCCTCAGCCTCAGCCTGCCTCAGCCTCAGCCTCAGCCTCTGCCTTCAGCCTCGGCCTCAGCCTCAGCCTGCCTCAGCCTCAGCCTGCATCAGCCTCAGCCTCAGCCTCAGCCTGCCTCAGCATCAGCCTGCCTCAGCCTCAGCCTGCCTCAGCCTCAGCCTCAGCCTGCTTCAGCCTCAGCCTCAGTCTGCCTTCAGCCTCGGCCTCAGCCTCAGCCTGCCTCAGCCTGCCTCAGCCTCAGCCTCAGCCTCAGCCTCAGCCTCAGCCTCAGCCTAGCCTCAGCCTGCTCAGCCCTCAGCCTGCCTCAGCCTCAGCCTCAGCCTGCCTCAGCCTCAGCCTCAGCCTCAGCCTCAGCCTGCTTCAGCCTCAGCCTCAGCCCTCAGCCTCGGCTCAGCCTCAGCCTGCCTCAGCCTCAGCCTGCATCAGCCTCAGCCTCAGC